GAGATCTCGTTTCTCCACGGGACGACCCTTTCCTGCTGGGTCCCTACCCACGATGTAAAAGTTAGCACCGGCATTGATCCGAGCCTTTGCGTGCCATTGCACCTCTGTTGGACCGGCGTAGTGCATAGGAGACGGGAATATCGAAACAACTGTTGTCTCTGGATCAAGAACGCCTTCCTCCAGAACCTGTTTTGATTCGTGTTAAACTCTTTAGCATATAGAGAAACAACAATTTCCATTCTCAAAACCAAACATTCACCTAACAATGCTATTAGTCACTTGAAACTATGTCAGATTCCCTTTTCTTATACCAAAATCGGTTTAAACTATCGATTTAGGATCAGCTAATCCCTCATTTCTTATTTTCAAGTAGGAAACATCTTATTCTAACAATTTACAAACGTTATTAACACTTTAAAGGCTTGAACTTTGAGGAATTCCATGTTTTTGCCAGGTAGCAAGGTAGCATTAGCACAAAAAGCTTGCATACCTTCTCGTGTTGCCTCATTCGCCAACTGAGAGGGACGTCATCCGCCTTTGTGTAGCCACCAAGTGGGTGAAGCAGCAGAATCGGGTTCTTGTACCCCATTTCAAGAAGCCTGCGACGGGTATCGGTCATGAGGAGGGCATGACCGTTGTGAACAGGGTTCCTGAGCTGGAAAGCAAAGACAGCATCGGCTCCACGCTTCTCAAACTCCTTACGGAGTTCAGAGGGCGAGAGTCTGAAACGATCAAGACCGTCTTGGTACTTGATCGGTTCAAGAACCTCGAGGTCACCGCCTATAAGCCAGTTCCCGGCTTTGGTTATTGTCTCTTCTGCGTATGGCAATCCAGGTGCAGTTGTTCCCCAGGTTCTGGCTATCCGTTCTTCTTTCGGGTGCTTGTAAATCTCAATGCTGAGCAAATGGTAAACAACCAATTAGTACACAAATCACAACAAGGAAACTGTCATTTTTCGCCAACGGCACGAGACTAAGCATTGGCCTCGGTCAAACTAGAAATAGGTTTAGGATTCATCAGATTCAACCTCCTCAATCATAGAACTTAGGTAATGGATTAGTCTCAGACCAAAAGGTTTGATTTTTATCTAAACCCAGAAGAAAACTCAACTCAACATCCCAAATTCTGATCGGAAAGCACTAAACCATAGAAATGTTGGTATCAGTTCTAGATTTGGCATTCAACCAAAGCCAGTCAACTACTTTATATCACGGTCACAGGCATGAACAAGCTAATTTGCTGGGAGCAAAACTAATCTTATAGTTTACTGGTGGATATGAATCTGAAAGAATTTAAGATGGCGTCGTTGCAACCTCTGAATCTTCCGGTTTCTTGAATTTGAGTAAAACCCAACAGCAATCTTGAGTTCAAATCTAGTATTCAACCAAAGCCAGTCAACTACTTTATATCACGGTCACAGGCATGAACAAGCTAATTTGCTGGGAGCAAAACTAATCTTATAGTTTACTGGTGGATATGAATCTGAAAGAATTTAAGATGGCGTCGTTGCAACCTCTGAATCTTCCGGTTTCTTGAATTTGAGTAAAACCCAACAGCAATCTTGAGTTCAAATCTAGTGCCGAGAAAACAGACGAACAGAAGCAGCGTTCATGATGAACTTACTCGTTGAGGATAGCGATAGGGTTATTCTCCGAGTCGACGAGCGTGACCCGGGTGGACTCGCCGATCCGGGCCTTCTGTTCATCATCAATGGCGAGAACAATAGGCACCGACATGTTGACGACGGAGCCATCGTCGAGACGGAGCGAGTTGAAATGAAGAGTTTGGAGGAACTCGGATTCTCTCATGAACCCTCGAAGCGGGCTGGCCCAGCCTTCGCTCAGGACATGGACCCACTGCAGATCGATGTCCGTGAGCCCCACGCGGGGCAGCTCCACCGCCTCGTGCTTCTTCTCCTGCCGCCGTGGCTCAGCCACCACCAGCTCCACCAGCTTCCCGCCCTCCGGCC